ACATGTGGAAGTATCAGACCGTCTCACATCCAACGGGTGCTGGTTCGAGAACAACGCCAATCAGTCTCCGTCGCCATCTGTTGAGACGGTACCACAGACGCACTGCGCTCCACCCAGTCGCTACACCATCACTCGCCGACCCCAAGCTACTTGGCTGTATCCTCCACCAGTTCGAGTGCACTGAATCGCACTGGCATCTGCAGGCGTCACCCCCATTCGCTTCACCCGCAGCTGACACCTGCTCGCATTTCCATTCCACCCGCCTGACAGCTGCACCCATTTTACCACATCTACCATGGCCCAGCAAAATAACGGCGAGCCTGTGATGCGCAGGTAGGCTCCTTTTCTCCTTTCTCCTCGACCATCGCATCCTTGTCTCCCCAAAACTACCTTGGTCCTGTCCATTTTCTTTCGAATTTTTATGCACATGGCCGCTTTTCCTTGATCCATGGTCACCCCATCCCTACCAATCCGGCCCTTTGGGCAATCCCTCGCGAACCTTCCAGGTTCTCAGGTACGGCCTGCATCAATATTCGGAGCTGTCGAACCCTGGCCTTTGCGCCATAGCTCGCGTTGGCGCACCCGATCGGAGACACCTTGTTCTAAAAATAGTTCATCCGACAGCCTCCCATGTCCACTTTTTATCGACTTGCGCATACTTCTTGCTCTGTTTGGCCGATTATACTTTCCTATGCTATTTTCGCTTCGCATCCAATTGTGCTAGCCGCATTCCTACACTGTCTGCCGAAGGAGGGTCACAGTTACAGTTACAGCATGCTAACCTCTGACCATTAGGAAGCTAGTCATCATCGGCGATGGAGCTTGTGGCAAGACGAGTCTGCTCAGTGTATTCACACTCGGTTACTTTCCAACGGTAAGCAGCCAGACAGTCATGCTACGCCCCGCCACGAGCTGGCGTCCCATAAATGTAACATGCTAATGCACCGCACAGCGCTACGTCCCAACTGTATTTGAAAACTATGTGACCGACTGCAGAGTAGACGGCAAGTCCGTCCAACTCGCACTATGGGATACCGCAGGGCAGGAAGACTACGAGCGCCTACGGCCCCTGGCTTACAGCAAGGCCCATGTCATCCTCATCGGTTTCTCTGTTGACTCGCCCGACTCCCTCGATAACGTCAAGCACAAGTGGGCCGAAGAAGCCCGTGACCGCTGTCCCACGGTCCCCATCATCCTCGTCGGCCTGAAAAAGGACTTGCGCGAAGACCCTCTGGCACAAGAAGAGATGCGTAAAAAGTCTCTCCGCTTCACCACCGCCAAGCAGGGAAGCGATATGAAGGAGATGATTGGCGCGCGCAAATACCTCGAGTGTAGTTCCCTGACTGGCGATGGCGTAGACGACGTTTTCGAAGCCGCAACCCGTGCTGCCCTCCTCAGTGTCGACAAAAAGGAAAGTGGGCCTAGCTGTTGCATTGTCTTGTAATCCTGAGAGCCTTTTTCTTAGGGGGGGGCCGTATTTTCTTCCCTAAAACGTCACCACCATCTTCTATCTACTAGTACTACTGACTACTACTACCATTACTGCATTGGGCCGGCGTAAACCGTTTGTTTTGACTCCAAGCGGGAGCAAAATCAACCTGGATCTATTTTATAGTACCGTTCCTTTGTTGTTTCCAAGCAGCTCATTGGTTTGGAGGCGTTTTATTCCTTCCTCGGAGCGCTTTGTCGCATTCTTTCCGAGGAAGGGTTTTCTTATTTCTGATTCTGGGGTTTTTTTCCTTTTCTTTTTGGTATTCTTGGCAAAAAGGAAAAGATCGAGAGGGGAGACCGGATCGGGTACTTTGGCTACCTTGCCTAGTAGGACAGGCCCGCGTGGGCAGGGAAAAGAAGGAGGAGCAGGATGCAGGGTCTCTTTGAAACTTTGAATCCTGAGACTTTTCGAGGCAGCTCGACAGACTTTTTTGGGCGGGGCGGAGGTTGGAGGGACCTGGTGGAGGGAATGGGGCTCAGGTTGGCTGTTGTCTTTGCGCGCTTCTTCTTGTTCTGGGTGGAGCGCGGGGTTCTTTTTGGCTGTGCATATTGTTTGGTGGGGTGCGGTATCGATCTAGCGCTGGCATGGGATGGGGTGTGTTTGAGTGAGTGGGTGAGGGAGTGTGAGAGTGGGTGAGAGTGAGAGAGAGAGAAGGAGAAAGGCATTGAGGAGAAGGGGATGAAAGATTGAGTTTGGAATTAGTTGGGCGGATTGCATGCTCTGCTATGCTCTGCTCTGTGACATGGAGTCCAGTCAAGTCGAATGATAGTATTACATGTTGGCGATGTGTGCGCAAACTCTATTTGATTTTTTTTGGATGTTGTTGAGCATCCGGCTGTTTCTGGGTGGAAGATGATGCGAGTAATTTTGTTGTGCTCAACGAACCGAATTATTCCCAATTTCTTCGACCT